AGAAGTATACTTCGACTAATACACAGTGAATTAACTTAACATAAAGTGACATGAATTTGAAATGAAGGAAAACTGAACATTTTTCTATGTGCAGCTGAACTTCGCATTGAACTTTTTATCGACATTCTGATCAGTTTAATGGCATATCTTAAAAAAGCATGTAAACTTGACAACTATGAAACAACGCTGTTCTCATACCGTAACAAGAGGAATCAAGATTCTTTAAATTAAGGATATTTTTCGTTCGGTTGTTCGTTTACTCACTTTAGCCTTTCTAAACTTTTAAGCTACTTAATCATCAACTTTTCAGATGTCCACAGAAAATCTGAATTTAATTAAATTAGGTACTTTAACTCTGACCTTAAAGTATTCAAAAGCTATTAAAAAGCCGTTACAATTCAGCCAGAAACATATTGCTGCTAAATTCAAGTAGAGTTATCAAAGTACCAAGCGTACTTTTTTCTCACTGCATTGTCTTTGCGAGAACGAGTAGTGGTTATGTAGGAATTAATTTACTGAATAAATCGCAAGATAAAGAAAGATATCATAGGAATGAAACAGGCCAACAAAGTATGCGAATGAAGATTTAGTGCAGCTTATCACTTTTGAAAAGATGTTCTTCTGTCCATTATTTGTTTGTTTACCAACTACACAAAAATTTGGTACAAAGCTTTTAGGAATTATAGCCCTCAGAGTTTATGTCTCGGCAACAAGATTTAAAAATGGCAAAATAGTAACAGACTATAATATTTGTTTCAGTATTTACAAACATACAAATAAATTAGAACTACATTATAGAAGGAGGCTGAATTGATACATCAGATTGTCTCACAAAGGTTTATTCATGTTTCAGACCTCCCTAGTGCAAGTAGGAAATTCGATCCCGTTTATGCAAGTCTATAAGTAAAACTTCAATACTGAAAATATTAACATAGAAAGTCATTATTTTGGCCATCTTAAGACTAAGACTCATAAAAATTGATGAAAGTTCATCTTTAGCACTGTACTAAGTAGCAAACGGAGTGATGAAATTATATTATTTTATAAGCAGAGTCGAACAGTGGCTAGTAGTAGAATTCAGTATGTCCGTTTCGTCCTATTTGGGACCCACCAGCTGGATGCACATGCAATGTTCATAATCACATCAGAACAGAAAGATACTTTGTATCAAATAAACTATTCCAACTTCGAAAAATTAAGAATATTAGAAAACAGTCAGTAGGAACCAAGCTTGTATTTACATTATGTGTTTATCACACATAGATGACCTACACATATTACTAGCTTTTCACAATTTGAAATAAAGGAATCCTAATAGTTACATTCATGAGTCGGTTAAAGCTAAACCACAGTTGTGAACCTGGAAGCACTGAACGGCTGTTTCGTTTTAGTATGAGGCTCATAAACAACGTGCATTCACTAACTCGCACGCGAAACTCGAACTCAGAACTTTCAGTCTCACGCACGAACGCTTAACCTCTAGACTACTGAGCCGGCATCCATCTGTGTTAATATATAATTTCCATCGATCCACGAATGACTTTGCAAGCATTCATCGATTGTCTGACGTAGATATCTATCTCTATCCGACACAGATTGGACTCCACTAGTTACGGCATCTCATTAGAACTCCTATGCTTTCAAGTTCTCAATGCTGGTCTAGTTTACATTGACTCATGAATTCAACTATTAAAATACTACAATCTCTACTAACCCGATTCTGATCAAAAAAAATAGAATCATCCATCCAAAAATCATTAAACTAATAAATTCCAACCTAACATTGATTTTGTAAAGCTATTAGTATTAAATCGCAAAAATATAAGTTAAATCAACTATCTCATTATTAATTCATTGACAAATATGATTCTAAAGTCAATTTAGAAATGAAATTAATCATCAATTATTATTAAGTAGTAATGTGACAATTAAACAATTCAGATAAATATAAAAACTAATACAAATCACTAGATTTAAATCGAAAACATAATTAGATGGATTGTTTTTATCCGAAAAGTTTATTCGGAATTAAATAAGCATGAATAAATATGAGTTTTGAACAACAAAAATAGCGAATAAAATAGCAAGTAATAGTTAGTAGTTTTTGTAATATTTGAAAAATTAAAATTAAAAAACTTCGGTAATATTTATCAATTTACTTACTCATATGAAGCCAGATATATAGGTCGTTCTATGAGTACATTATTCAAAAGAATTCAAGAACATTGTCCGGCATGGTTAAGAAGAGGAAACGGCTCATTAGGAAGTTCAGTAAACGAAAACATTATGAACATAGGTCAGACTATGCGTTTAAAGTCATCTACAAAGTAAATAGAAGTCTTCCAAAGACATTTATATTGCATCTTTTTAGTATTGCCGAAGCAACAGCTATACATCTGGAAAAGCAAGAATTGTATGTCCACAAGTGATTGGTACAACCTCTTCTTTTACCATGATCTTAATGTCGTATTTTTTATTTTTTGATACTCTTCTTCCTTTATAGACATCTGCTTCACCTTCCCTCTTCCTCTTAAATCTTCTACACCCAACTGGTTTATTTCTGTTTCTACGATCCTCCTGATTCCATTTAATCTCAATCTCAACATTTTATCTTATCATCCTGATCCATCCTTTCCCATTGATAATTTCCCTATCTATCTTTTGATGAGTACTTAAGCCATTAACAATCGAACAATTATTTTTTTTAATACCTTTGTTTATTTTACCTCACTATGTCTAACAAACGTTTATTGTCATTATTATCATCCTGAAAAAAATTATTATATATATATTTGTGATTGTACAGCTTTGAGAATGAATTCGCCGGAAAGAGAACTCTTCGCTGAACCAATCTTTCTTATTTAATATTAAAAAACACTGTTAACCATTTTACGAATATGTGAACACCATTTTTTTTTGACACTGATTACATTCTGGAATAAAAAAATTGGTAATACACAATAATCTTTACAAAAACAATAGTTGGCACTCATAAATGCTTGACAGATCAGCTTTTGTTTCACCAAAGATCATTGAAAAGCCTAGAATGATCTTAAATTCATCTGAAAAGAAAAAAATAGTTTTCTGGAGAATCAATAAGCCAAAGGAAAAATATCAGATTTAGTCACCGTGAATGTATGATTAATGAAGATTAGGCAAAGAATGTTCATTTCATGATGTTTGGTATTGTTAGTTACTGTCAAAAAGTTGGGAGAATATCATATAACTTAAAAATACCTGGTGATGTTAATTGCAATCTAATTACAAAACAGAAAAAAAGGAAACGATGTCACTAATCAGTCTTAACACATTATTTTAAAATACCTAGTAAGTTTATGAAGTAACCTAGAAAAATCGTCTATACTGTTATTATATTAGTGGACGTTATAATGAACCCCATAGAACACTTTATATTTTCGATGATTTCATTTATTACCAACATTACTAAACATTAAGTGAACATAAATATTCTGTTTAATAGTAACGTGCTTTTACATTGAATCTATTAATTATATGTGTTTTGGAAGCTTAGTCTTGAGATTGCAGTTTTTAAAATACTCATCGTTTTCAAAAATACATGACGCCATATATTCTGGGCATAATTTTTATTACATCTTTCTAAACTTACAAAATTCTGAATGTCTCCTTGTAAAAGGACTAAAAAACAAATGAACTTTAGAAAGTCTTCCTAGCTAGTCAGTTCAATATTCAAAGTAAGTTTCTGAAAAAAATTAATCTTAATTCCTTTCAACAAAACTCAATGGACATTATGGAATAGTTCTACATAAAAAGCATACTTGAATTTGATGTAATCAAAATGTTGAAAGTAACAAGATAGATTTATTACGTTTATTGTTTTAACCAATCGGATAATAGATAATTTTGTAAATTGTGTAATTTAAAATAACATAAATTGTTTTAGTTGTTACCATAAACTACTTTGTATTTAATTAAGTATTATGTAACAGTTGAAGTTAGACATTAAAACCTTTGAATACCGGCCAGTTCAGTGATCTAGAGGTTAAGTGGTGTTTTGCGAGACCGATAAGTCCTGGATTCGAATCTCGCGATGCGGGATCACGGATGCACTCTGCTGAGGAGTCTCGCAATAGGACGAAATGGCCGTTCAGTACTTCCAGGTTTCCAATAGTGGTCTAGCTTGAATTGACTCATCATGTCATTCATTAAAAATATTTTATTTTTGAAAGAAAAGAAATAATTAATTTTTATTTATTATTAATTAGTTGTGTATGATTGATTGGAATCAACAAATATTCATGCATTAGGTGTAGTTCATCTCATATATATATAAACCGAAAATAACGATAGCAAGAACTGGAGTAAAGTTGTTTTCTATCTAATTAAACTAGCCATATCAGTTATGCTTCATTGAAGTAACTTCTTATTGTTTATTTATTACACTTCAATAATATCCGCTTTTAAGAAATATCGGTTAACCAGTGATTGATGATAAGTTGTGATATATATATGAACTAATAGAAAGAAACTACTATGAGAAATGTCAAAAGACGAATAATTAATTTAGTATAACTATGAATAAATTATTTTAGAAAACAGAAAATGTTTGTTTGTATCAAGTTTTTGTTTTTTTTTCATTAATAGTGTGATAGTAATTTCTTGTTACCACCCCCCTGCTGCACATTCACCCTCATTGTTCAATCAAAAAATAATAATGAAGTGTACTAATCAAGATATACAATCTGAAACTATTAAAAAAGAAACTATTACTACTATTCTTACTAATCAGCATATATAAACTTAAATAAAATACATCAGTAAACATTAGATGATCACATCCCACTCACTTTTCTTTTTAGTCAACCGAATTAGCTAAGTGGTAAAACAGAATGAAGTTAACTCAATTTCATCTTATATCACTACATGAGTTAGTCTATCTGATCTCAAACTGAAATCTCATTGGTTAATCTATAGGTGATAATAATTAATTCCCATCTCAAATTTTTTTTTAAATGTAAAAAAAAACAACAAATAAATAAAACCATTCAGTGCTTTCAACATTATTTGTAGATTCGTGACCAGTAAATTCAACATTGTTTAAACAAATTAACACCATATATCTATATAAATAGGAAATTATTGTGACATTTTAATTTATATTACAGAAAAACAGTTTCATTTGATAACTACATCAAAGTGCTCATGTAAGTAGTATGAATAATAATGCAGCGTTTTTTTTAAGGTTTCATTGCTTTCTGTTAATATTTGCTTAGCAACTGGTTTATTCGGCTAGTAATAATAAATGGTAATATAATTAAAATGAATTAATAATTGGTATAAATTGACAATAAGACAATATACAAATATAGAATAATTCGTGATAAATATTCCCATATTACTTAATAATCGATATTAGTAGAATTCTATTATTGAGTTTAGCAAGATTCATTAAGTGTCATCAAACTATAGTAATTTTCATTTAATAAATGAGCCCTCATATTGGGTATACTTCAATCAGTGAATTAAACAAGTTTATTTTAAATTAATTTTGAACTATATCAATATTCAGTTGTATAGAACTGACTTGTTTTATTAAACTACCTGAATAAACTTATGTTTATATGTATTCTAGTCTCCTATGATTTTTAACAACTCGAAACTTAGGTTCTTTCACATAATGACGCTGTTGACAGTAAACAGAAGTAAACTATCATTTTACAAAGATGTTTCTGCTTTTAAAGTTTGTATTAGGGTGATGTAGACTGAAATAACTTCTTCAAATAAAACTTACGAGTGAAATAAGTGATTGTTTTAAATCATGCACCATTGCTTGATAAGCCAAAATAAATTAATTTCAACTGTGGTAAAATATTCCATTATATCTATCAACAGTGTTTCATTCAAATTTACGTCTATAGTTTCTGTTTGTTTGGTCAGCCGTGTTACAAATCGTTTTTGATATCGTTTTGAAGTTGATTTATCTTCAGTTTTGTTGTTTATTCTACAACAATTAACTTTAGATATACTTACATAAGAAAATACTTGGTTAGATATATGTTTATGATTTCTTTTCGCTTAGTATTTTGCGAAAATGTTTTCATAAATTTCCAAAACTCTTGAAATGAAAAAACAATCGGCCTGTTACAAATCTTTGGTCCACATTACTTTTAATAATGAATAATTGATAAAACACATTACCAGCTCGTTTTTACTTCTTTTCAGTGAAATAGTTATTGACATTACTTAAGAATCCTAGTCAACAAGTATAAATATTAAAAGATGGGCACTAAGATAACTGTTACCTAAATTCATGCAATTGATTTAAGAAGATCAGTTATGTCTAAGTACTGGTAGTGTAGTGAACGTGAACACAGAAGAGGAAAAAATCGAATGTATTTAAACGTAAAATTACAGAATTTCTTAGCAAAATATGGGAACCATGCAGTAAATACTTCATTTGCAAAATGTCAAACAATTGTCTTATACTTCACTGTTCCTTCATTTCCACAACAATCATTCTCTTTTTTTATCTTCTTAACCTTCTACCACCAGGCATTTCACTTCCTTTTGTTGACACATACTACTTATATCTGTCGACATCAGTAGCACACACCATATTAAGCACCAGTGAGTTGAATATGTTAAATACGTTTAGATGTTTATGTCATGTTTATCAATAAAACTCTACTAACATTTTGTCTTCCTTTAGATATGAGGATTTAGTATGCATTCATTCATAACCTTTTTGTATCCTATTCATAGTTTTAAAACGTCTTCATTAAAACTAATACTAAAACTGTTCTAAACCCTTTAGAAGTCTTTTTTTTCTAGTCAGTCTTGTTGTACTAAGTTGACACATTGATGTTGGCTGACGGATATTTTAATTGTTATACATTGACTATGATTTGTTGACTTTTATTTAAATAGTTATTGATATAGAAATAATTAAAAACTGTAATATATCTTAAAATCGTAAAAGTCAATTTTCTCTTTCGTGGTAACCATTTAAATCATAAGTTACATCACTATTTTTTAAAGTTTCAATTCGATCACAAAAACTGTTTCATTCGATGTGTACATATACATCCCTTTGAATTTGGATCAGTTCATTGGACTTATAGTAATTTGACTAGTACGACTTGATTTTCCATAAAACTGTTAAGTTATCAAACTTCATTGATGTTTTTCAACTTTGTCCTTAACAAGATGGTTTTTAATAACACAAGTTATTGTAAATAACTGTTTTGACAATTTTATAAGAAGAGATTATACATTATATATGATAAATAAATATCTGTTTAGGGGTTGTGAAGATCGTTAAGTTTTTGATTGAGATCATGAACCGATTTCACAAAAAGGTATTCCAACACTTTTTCACATGCCAGTAGCAGTTTTCTACAGTTTGAATAACTACTTAAATGATATTTATTTTTAATATTTAAGTAATAAGTTTTGTTTCAGGGTGTATAAAAATTTTTTTCAATGTTCAGTATTACTGTAATAATGAGAAAATGTTTTTATTTGACTATATCTACATGTTCAAATGCTAGGATTGTTGTTTTATTACAGATATTTTACAGTGATGAGCTTAAGCACAGATATTAGCTTAAAGTTGTCATAGATTAGGAGAAATTCTAATTTTTATTATAACAACAAATAATATTTTATATATCAGTAAAGGGTCGTAAAAGTTGTTCATATTTACTAAAATCATGAGCCAATCAGTGTTAGACCACCATTGAAAACCTGAAGCAAATGGACAGCTGAATCCACCTAGTATGGGACTATTCAGCAGTGCACACCCTCGATCCAGCACGCGGGACTAGAAGATGGTCATGCATTATCGTAGATTGGTTGAGGTTAGGCATTAAGATAGTTGGATGCCGGTTTTGTGATCTAGAGGTTAAGTGTCCGCTCACGGGACTGACGGTACTGAGTTAGATTCCCATGTGCAAGATCGTGGATGCGCACTGCTGGGGAGTTCCATACTAGAATGAAACAGCCGCCCAGTATTTTCAGTTTTCCAATGGTGATCGGTTCATGATTTCTGATAAGCTAGACAATTAGATAAAACTATGTAAACGGAATTCACTCAAAAATAGTGATAATAATGCTTATTTACTAAAAACGTATTACGTTTTTAGTAACTTTTGAGAGGAAAATAGGAAGATTTTATGCAATCTAACTATATTGACAGGTCAAATGTTCTATAAATCCCCTTTCCATGTGTTTTGTAAAACTAACTACTCAAATCAAAGTTTTGATTTCGTTTTTGTGAAATGTAAATTTTAAAATTTCAATTATTTTTTATAAGAAATTCGTTTTTAATAAAATAACTGAAAACAAGATTGATGGTTATTAAAAGTGCTTAGAGTGATAATATCACGGTTACCTGTCACGCATAGGATAAGATTATTTCTAAAACTCATCATTTGATTTAGAGATAAACTTAGACATGTTAAAATCAGACGTGACTTTTATTTTACAGAGTTTGCATATAAAGTCAATAAATTATGAGAAAACATTTTTCAACTACTTGAGTACAATTAGAAAAACATTTATACCTTATTTTTATGTAGTAAAATATGAATATCAACTAGCTCTTTTGCAATAAACTTACTTTGAAAACAATGGTGAATACTTAGAAATTACGGACCGAGTTTTCTTGTATTCTTCATAAAGATCTTATATATATTAAAAAAAGGAAAAGTGTCTTTATAAGCCTAATAACATTAGTATACTGACATTGTGTACCGGACAATTGTAATTTCGTGATTATACTGTAGAACTATGAGAATACAATATCGTATTATGTTTTAGGGAAAACCAGATTTCATTTATACTTTACGTACATGAAAATGCAAATTGTGACATTTCATCAATACTATCTAGAATGCATATAATTCTGATGGAGATATCCTTAAATTCTTTCAGATAGCACTAGTAATTTATTTCAAATATCATACTAATTTAATGTTGTAATTTCACTAAAACTATATTTTGAGCCTTCATAAAGTATCTGATGAATAAAATTTTGCATTCAATTCGAACTTGTTTGCTGATAAGAAATCTTCCAATTTAGTACATAGAATTAACTCATGAATATATTGATTTTTAACATAAACATATATTTTGATGGAGTTTTGTTCTCTGAGCTGGATGGTTTGGTCGTGAAGCTTTCATCGTTCTTCTGAACTACATCATTAGCACTTCACTTCTATCTGAAGTTTTGAGAACAAAACTCCATCAAAATCATCCAACTGATCTACAAATCTTCTTCACCATCTCATAAACAGATATTAATAGTGTAAATTTAGTTAAATCTAAGTTTGATTTGTTGACTTGATTTAGCTAATATTTGTTATTATATATGATATGAGTACTACTGTCTTTATTCTTAATTGTGCAAAAATATTCGTCTCTTCAAATTTCTTCTCATTTACAAACAGGTGTATATGTCGATGTACCGTTATTCGTTGTCTACTTCAAAACTTTGATCAATTAAACCGTTATTCCATTTATGTCATTGACAGTGTTCCATAGTTTATGATGATAATTCTGTTTCATATTAACAATTACCATTTTACAAACAAACCTTTTCTTCAAATATCTGTTATTGTATCAATACTATAGTTGATAAGAGTTAAAAAGACCAACCTCTAAAAGTAAACGTTTATTCATATTATCCGTATATTTTCTACGATTTTATTCTACAAAATGTCGTGTAATATATATTTCCCTATCTAGTTCTGAAAATGTTATTTCAGTGTATAACTATCCTTGATATTTCTTATACACTTTATTTCCCCAACATAAAGTTGCTTTTTTTCTATATACGGATTTAATTTAAGGTCACATATTATACAGATAATTTATATATATTTTTTTATTTATAATTAATTTTATGTAACGAAGTCAATATTCTATTCATTTACAAGTAATAATAGTATAAGATTATGAGAATTGTTGAATTTCAAGTGATCTAAAGGTTAAGCATAAAAGGGTCATGAATGTTGACTGCTGAGCAGCCCCACATTAGGACGGAACGACCATTCAGTCCATTCAGATTTTAATTCAGATTGGTTCGTGATTTTAATGAAATATAAATATTATATCTAGCGGCAATGGTTCATTAAATTTTGTAATAAGTGGAATATTTTCAGAATAAATTTTAAAAATAACAATTTTGTTTAAGAAATTATTC